TAGAGTTAGTCGCACAGATTTGGATGCATTATCTGTACGGGGTGTCCTGTGGGGTTTACACTGATTATCATAGCTTGTAACATTTGTTCAAGCAAAGGGATTTCAATTTGAGGCAGCGCAAATGGCTTGAGTTAGTAAAGGATTATGACATCACCATTCTTTATCATTTGGGCAAGACAAATGTAGTCGCGGATGCCTTGAGCAGAAAGGCAGAGAGTATGGGTAGCTTGGCATTTATTTTAGTGGAGGAGAGGTCACAAGCTATTGATATTCAATCCTTGGGTACTAAACTTGTGAGGTTGGACATTTCAGAGCCTACCCGAGTTCTTTCATGTGTGGTTGCTCAGTCTTCACTATTGGAGCAGATCAAGGCTCGACGGTTTGATGATCCGCATTTGATGGTCCTCAGAGAGACTGTACTACAGGGTGGTGCCAAGGAGGTTTTTATTGGTGAGGATGGTATTTTGCGACTCCAAGGTTGTCTATGTGTTCCTAATGTCAATATCTTGAGGGGAGGATTCTGATGAGGCATACAGTTCTCGGTATTCAATTCATCCAGGTGGTGTAAAGATGTATCGTGACCTGAGTCAGCATTATTGGTGGCAGCGGATGAAGATAGACATAGTTGAGTATGTGTCTAGGTGCCTAAATTTCCAGCAAGTTAAGTATGAACATTAGAGGCTAGGTATCTTACTCCAGTAGATGACTATATCGAAGTGGAAATGGGAGCACATTACTATGGACATCTTAGTTAGGTTGTCGCGTACCTTGTGGAAGTCTGATGCAGTTTGGGTCATTGTCGACAGGTTGACCAAGTTGGCACACTTCATTTCGGTTGTGACTACGTATACTTCAGAGAGGTTGGCCTAGATTTATATTCAGGAGATAGTTCGGTTGCATGGTGTAACCGTTTCTATCATATCAGATAGAGGCCCTGAGTTTACTTCACATCTCTGGAGAGCCGTACAAAGTGAGTTGGGGACCCGTGTAGAGCTCAGCACAACATTTCATCCACAGACTGACAAGAGTCGAAGAGGATAGTTCAGATCCCGGAGGACATGCTTATAACATGTGTGATTGACTTTGGAGGGCAGTGGGATCGATTCTTACTTTTGGCAGAGTTTTCTTACAACAATAGTTATCAGTCCAGTATCGAGATGGCTCCATTTGAGGATTTATATGGTCGGCGAAGTCGTTCTCCTGTCGGGTGGTTTGAGCCTGGCGAGGCTAAGTTTTATATTACTAGGTGAAGGATTCCTTGGAAAAGGTAAAGTTGATTAAGGAGTGACTTCACACAGAACAGTCCAGACAGAAGTGTTACGGATTAGAAGGCATATGATGTATCATTTATGGTAGGCGAGAAAGTTCTCTTGAAAGTCTCGTCGATAAAGGGTATTATGAGATTTGGGAAGAAGGGAAAGCTGAGACCAAGGTTTATAGGCCCATTTGAGGTGTTGAGGCGAGTTGGGGAAGTTTCTTCTGAGCTTGCTTTACCTTCCAGCCTATCAGGAGTTCATTCGATTTTTCACGTGTCTAAGCTCTAGAGGTATCACGCTGACTTATATCATGTGTTAGACTTCATCACTAATCAGTTAGATCAGAGCTTGGGTTGTGAGGAGGAGCTAGTTGCCATTGTTGCTAGACAGGATCACAAGTTGAGATCCAAGAGGATTTTCGTGTTAAAGGTTCAATGGAGGGACTAACCAGTCGAGGAGGAGACCTGGGCTTCCAGGAAGGTCATGCGGAGCAGATATCCATACTTATTCAGCATTCTAGGTATGAATATATACCCATTCGAGGAAGAGAGTTTATTTAAGAGGTGGAGAATGTAATGACCCGATCGGTCATTTTGCTTTCTAGAACCCCGTCCCCCTAAATAAGACTTTCCGTACACGCTCTTATTATTTTATGACATCCAGGGATGGTTAGATCGGGATTGAAACAGTTCGGGTTGAAATCGGAACACTTGGTTCCTTAAGGCTGGTTTAAAAGGCCAAGTTTGACTTCGGTCCATATTTTGAGTAAAAAACTTCGGAATCGGGATTTGACGGTTCCAATAGGTTAGTATGATGATTTTGGACTTGAGCGTGTGTTCGATCGTGTTTTGGATTACCCAGGAGTGTTTTGGAAACTAATAGTGAAAGTTGGTTCTTGAAGGTTTTAGAAGTTCTTTAAATTGGGTTTGGAGCAGGTTTTAGTGATATCGAGGTCCATACGAAATTCCGAGATCGGAAATAGTTCCTTAATATTGTTTAATACTTGCACGCAAACTTTGGTGTCATTCTGAGCAGTTTAAGGACATTTTGGTGCATTGGAAGTAAATTGAAGAACTTGAAGTTCATAAGTTTGATTCAAATGGTTTTGGAGTGTGATTCATAATTTTAATGTTGTTTCGGGCATTCCGAGAGTTCGAGCATGTGCATTTTATGGTTCTAAACTTGTTGGTATGCTCGAGCGGCGCCCCGGGGTCCCCGAGTGTCAATCGAATGAGGCTCAGACTATGTTTGGACTTGGGAAGCAACAGCTGAAGCATCATGGTTCTGTCACAATAGCACCTGCGCTTGGCCAACCAAAGGTGCGAGCTCGTAGAAGCGAGCGAGTGAGGGCAGCCCAGGCACCACATGTGCAGAAGTTTTGGTGTACCTGCGCGACCGCAGGTGAGGGAAGGTACCCAGATGCGGTCCCCTGGGTCCGCAGATGCGGAGCCTTTCTAGTTGAGGAAAAGACGCACCTGCGATGAATTTGCCGCAGGTGCGGAACTGCAGATGCGGCCAAGGCACCGTAGGTGCGAAAATTGCTGGTCATAAAGGTTTATTTAATACGAAACTTAGGCCATTTCGAACACGTTTTCTTTCACTCTTGGGCGATTTGAGACTTTTAAGGAGGGGATTTCGACCTAGCTTTTGAAAGTAAGTAATTTCTACCTAATGTGAGTCTAAATCATAGTTTATGGGTAGATTATAACATATAAAATTGTAGAATTCAAGAGTTAGATGGAAAACCTAGGTTTTTAATAAAAATGAGATTTTACCATGAAAATGATTGTGGAACGTAATGAAAATCATATATTTATGTTCCTAAGGTTACGGATAACAACATTTTTCGAAAATTTTCAGAATCTGGACACGTGGGCCAGGGGTGATTTTAGGAACCTTACATTTAGGGTTGGGTAATCACTTAAATAGTTAGAATATAAACTTTTGGGCATATGTTAATTAGTTTTTAAATTATTTGAATTGTTTTGGATTGTTCGGCATCGACGTGAGGGTTTGAGCATAATCTTGGACAAGGTAAGTCTCATTTCTAACCTTGTAAGAGGAAATTTAACCCATAGGTGAACTTAATTAATATGTGTTGTTATTTGTGGGGGCTACGTATACCCGAAGTGACGACAGTCCGTACGTAACTACTATTTCTATTTATGTCTGAGTAGTTTTAGGTTTACACCATGCTTTGTGGATACCGTTATCTGATTATATTTGCTAATTATATATATCGAATGGAACTAAGTTGAGGGTTTTAAGATTTCAAAAGCTTCAAGTTGAATTTTTTTATTTTGAAAAGAATCGAGAAAAGGTTATAATTTATTAATAAATTTATATTTAACCGAGACGCAAGTACATACCGCGAGCGGGGTGGCTCTTTCCACCACTCTAATGGGAGCGGGTTGTTCGCCTCGGCAGGTTAATAGATGCATCTATGGTTCGTGCCGTTCGACCCTCGACAATGCATAATTTATATTTATGTTGGATCGGTCCGTACGTCCTCGGTGAACTTCGTGTGTGATAGTAGAACTGGAAGTCCTTTTTTATATATGGTATTAATTCACTTGAATTGAGAGGTTATTGGTTTTAAATGAAGGAAGTGATTTGGTTCTTAAATATGGTGAAAGGATTGTTCAGTTATTTCTTATTCTAAGTTTTATTGTTATATCTATATATATCATGTTTAATTAGAATTTGATATTATCATATTGTTGGCCTTAGTAAGTGTCGGAGTAGACCTCTCGTCACTACTTCTTCAAGGTTAGACTAGATACTTACTGGGTACAAATTATTTATGTACTCACGCTACACTTCTACACTTGTATGTGCAGGGTCTGAGGCAGGTGCATCTGGATATTAGTCCTACACGCATACTTGACTTACACCTCGAGACTTCATGGCTAGCTTTCTTCCGAGCCGTTCTCCAGCAGCTGGAGTCTTCCTTATGTTATAATTTTTCTGTCTATTTCGTTTCAGACAGTTGACTAGTATTCTTTTGTATATTCTACTGGAATGCCCATATACTTGTGACACCAGGTCTTGGCACACACACTAGTAGACTTATGATTTTGGATTTGTTTTCATGATTATGATTTGCACTTATTTGCTTCCATTTAATTATTTTACATCTGCAAATTTCTATATCTTTTAACAACGAGGAAAAATTTTATTCACTTAATAAACTTATTTAAATTGGCAAGCCTCTAGATTGATCAGTGTTGGCTTGCCTAATGATGGCGTTGGGTGCCATCACGGCCTATAATGGAATTGGGTCGTGACAGATATAAATACATAAGTTTAAAAAAATTCTAAATACAGTGACTTTCCAATTACTATGATTGGGAAGTTCTCTATTAGCGCTCTGATTTTCCTTCATGAGGCACATGCAACTCGCTAAAATGCACGTACCAGTCAATGTAATTAGCTATATATGTACTGCCGAGGTTTATCAATGATGAACACATAGCAAACTGGATTCGGTGTACAAGTTGGTCGATGGGGAATAAAGCCAAGAGCCTTTTTGAATGCCTAAGAAGTTATGTCAACCGTGAAATATGCGCCACTTCTTAGCTTTCTATAGCAGCAATGTGAATGATATGCCCTTCTTATATAATTAGTTTTATAATATATCTAGTTAGAATCCTCTAGTACTCGTGATCTGCCAAAAACACTATATATATATAACGAAGTCAAGGTCATATTCTCACCAAGCAAAATGTCAAAACTTCACATCTTTAGAATTAGCGTCAATATTCATGATGGTTCTCCAAACTCAACTTGGATTGAACAAGCACCAATCCTACGCTCACGAGCAAAACTACTATTCCGACAACAGCCATGGCGGCTCTATTCAAATGACAAGGCCATCGGGTTATTCCACCATGCCATATGGTCAATCCACTCACAATCGCATGATGATGGGCCATGGTGGCCAACACCAAGGCGGATATTACGGTGGTCATAGCCATGGCCATGGCGGTCACTATGGTAGTTGTCACAGGGGTGATTTATGTCACTCGAACTTAACCCGAGGTTCACCTCTGTGCGGCAGTCAAGCCCAGCCTTGACTTCAGCATTTCCAACACTTAGTTTTCTTTTTAGGGACGTTTGCACTTAGAATGAAATTAGGCAGCAAAATCAGTAAATAAAGGCACGCGATATACAGGAATTTCTTCCCAACTTGTATTAATAAGTGAATACAAGAACACAATAGCCAACCCTATGGCCAAGACAAAGAATTCCCTAATTCCCTGCCCCAAAATGATTTTCCCACCCTTAGGAAATGACTTAGACGTATTTGGCTTCACAATGCCTTAGACTAAGTTTCTCTACCGCGTTTTGGACAGCCTAGGCAAGAATTTATAAGACTACAATGAGTTGACAAGCCCCTACTGATGGGCAACAAGTTAAGACAAAGTACAAAAACGTGGGCACACTTTTAGGCCATGATCAGCATGTCTTGGAAGAGGTTGCAACTGCCAACTGCTTCCCATGTGCTTGGCACATGTTTTCCAACTGCTGCTTGTGCACAGCTTGGTCTGATTTTCGCCCAGCTGCTTTGTGCCAAGGCTGGCATTGCGCCCAACCTTGCCTTTGACACTGCTCCGCGCCAATGTCATTGTCACAGCTCGCCATCCACTGACTTAGCCGCACACGTTCATTGTCAAAGCTTGTTCCGCCTTGCTTTGCCTTGCCTTGCCATGTCTTTGCCCCTGCTTGACATGGCTTTGCCTTGCCATTGTTTTGCAACCCGCACATCTAAGTAAAATGCGCCTTGCTTCCGTTCAAGGTGCGTTTGTCGAACCCCGCATTGTCCGTCATGCCGAGCAGCCCTTCATGATGTTGCCCCATTTTTCAGGTTGTGTGCCAAGGCCATCATGAAAATCCTTGTCACAACCCACACCTGCCGAGGACCTTTGTCAAGGGGCTAACAGTAGTCATGGACATCATGGGGCGCATTTGCCCCATGACTCCATTAACTTTTCAAGCAACACCACTATGGTCCATGGTAATGGTGGTTATGGTAGTGGAATGCAGCAATCTGCAGAGGCCATGGGCATGGGATCGACAAACTATCATGGTCATGGTTATGGTGGCAGCCACCCTAGTCACTACAATCAGAGCCAGAAGTTCAACTGGGCTCTTAAGGATTTGGAGGAATAAATTTACAATAAATTTGATGCTATCATGTATGGTTAAAATATGTATGTCTTTTGGTAGTGGCTTTGGCTATAACACGAAGGTCTCCTACCTAAATAAGTAATGTAACAATATGCTTAAAAGGCTTGTATTGTTAAGCTGAAAACAAATATTATAAGGCTTTTATTAATTGTGTTAAGGCTATCCCCAAACCTAATACACTTTTAACTTCTCTACACATTGATACTCTAAAAAGAAAGTTACGCTATCAATTAAAAGATAACTACAAATTATTCATAATAATTGAGATTAGTAACTTATAAAATAATGCAGGTTTTCTATCTATAACAAAAGGTTTAAGGTGACCCGATAATGTAAAAGTGCTATGGTTAAGAACTTTTCATACATAACCTTCTATTATCGAGGTCTTATGTGTTTAATCCCTTATTGCTAAAAAAGACGCGTGTGATCTATGAAGTCTTCCTATGCATACAAATCTGACGACCTAACCATCTAATTCTTTAGGATACAATGGAAAGGTTGAAGAAACATGTGTTCAACAAAATAGTTGAGTTGAGCTTTATATTGAGTTTGATGATTAACTAACAATTGTGAAAGAACGGGGTCTCTTAAAGTCTGTTGATCAGAAGCTGAAAACTAATTTTTAATGTCAGATTCCTTGAAGAATTTATTTCGTGGATACAAGTATTACGTAGGTAGGAGGAATTCATGGTCAACAAAGTTTCATAAATATGGTTACACTTGCATAAAACGAAAATCATTTGGAAAAAGAAAATGGATGTGGAGTTGAAAACAAAGATGGGAACATCGACCAAGAGGGATTATTTCCCTTAACCGAAATATCCTATGTTTTGGAGGATTAATTGAAGAAGTTTTTGGCCACCCCATTCTTATATAAAGTATCATATTGCGGCTATATATGCGAGGTTAAGTCTTCTAATGCTATTCACACAACTTCAAGGAATTACTCAACGCATAAAGAATCATAGCAGAAAGGTGCTTTCAAAAATTCAAGTTGTTCTAACTAAATACATGCTCCAGAAGACGAAATTATTGAAGTTCTTAAGTTGTTTAGGTTTGAGTCAATTATTCTTTAATAATAGCCTATATTACTTATTGAGAAGTGTAATCACAGGTAGACAAATCTGAAGAGTTTGTTTAGATTCATATGCTAGAGTTTGTAGTTTGTAAAAGGGTAGCTACAGTTATTTTCTTTTTTTGGCTTAAAGACGAGGTATTATTATTATGCAAGGATTTAAAGAGAGTTATTACAGCCCGGAACTAATCTTAACGAAGCAGTCCCTAATAAAACTTTGCGGAAAGTAGATAAAGCAAATAAATGTGGTTCACTCCAGAAATGGTCTTCACACTCTCCAGAGAGTTACAATTGCTTCCTAACTGTGCCAGTGTATGCGCTACTTGGTTTCCTTCACGGTAGACATGCCTAAAATAGGTTGGCCTAGTACGTCGAGAAGGAAACTGCAATCATAAAGAAAATTAGCATTAGCTTTGTTATGAAGTTTGTCCTGTAATAGATAGAGTAATACCTGGAAATCTGTTTCCACTATAATCTGTATTCTATTTTTCGTGAAAGCAAGTTTCAACCCCTTTACTAGGGCAACAAATTCTCCTTGGACTAATGATGAGACCATTATGTGACTGAAGAATCCATCAATCCAGTTTCCTTCGGAATCTCTGATGATTCCACATGTTCCTCCGATGTTGGAGTTTTTTTTGGTGTGCACCATCTATATTAAGTTTATACATGTTTTGTGATGGGGGGTCTACTTTATTGGATTTTAGTGTTTGAAGTGATTTTTGAAATTATGGTTTGTTAGGTATATGTATTCCGTTGCGTGTGTAATTATTTTTAGGCTGTCTATTTGGGTTGAGTAGTTGTTAAAGTATTTGTGATTACGGTTGAGTCATATATGCCAAAGAATAATTGGTGTTGTAATTGCCATTGGGATTATTGTGTTATTAGGTAGAAGGATGCTCATAGTAGAGGTACAAATACTTTTTATCCAATCTAGTTAGTTTGAGGTTGGAGTGGTGATGCTTAACTCTCCCCATATTGTACTGTTCATAGGGCAATGAAAGAACAAGTGGTTAGTGTTTTCTTCTGTCCCACAATGTTTGCAAGTATTAAATTCACGTATGTTCCTTTGGCTCAAGACAGCTGCAGTGGGGAGTCGTTGATTGACTAATAGCCATAGGAATGCTTTGAGCTTGTTGTGGCATGGTGCTTTTCGTATCCAGAAATGGTGAAAAGGTTCATGATTATGGGTTGCCTCTGCAGGCTTGACGAAAAAGTTGTAGGAAGATTTTATTGTGAAGTTCACATCTTCCGTTTCTTTCCAGAAGAATGAATCATTTATGCATTCAGAGAAAGGGATATATGTTTGTGTCACAAGGTCAGAGATCGTATTGGGGAGGTCGTATGAAAGAGTTTCTAGATTCTAATTTTTATTGATAATAAGGTCGTTCAATTTTATATGATATCTTCTTTACCTAAGGGGCCATCAATTAATTCCCTTAGAGTGTGATTGCCAATAATCCATCGGCCATCCCATACTCTTATCTGTTGTCCATTTCCAACATTCTAAGCTATGCCTTTAGAGAAAAAGGAATAAGCTTTTACAGTACTGTTCCAGATGTAGGAGTCATTTATTTTATAAATGATAGGATTCCTTCTTGAATTGTAAAAATACTTTATCACTTTAGGCCATAGAGACTCAAGATTGGAAAGATATCTCCGTAGTAGGCTTGAGAGGAATGTAATATTTTTTTTCTTTTACTTTGTACAACCCAAGGTCTCCCTCTTGCTTAGATGATGTTATGTTATCCCAGTTGATATGGTGATTTTTCCTATGGTCCCTTGTAGAATCCCATATGAAGTTTCTCTGGATGTGATCAATATTGTTTCTAGTCTTTGCTAGAAGAAGATTCATTTGCTTGGAGTAGGTGGGTATGGCTGACATAGTTGATAGTATAAGGGTTAATCTCTCAGATAAGGATAAAAGTATGGCTTTTCATCCTTTTAGTCTAGTATTCATCCTGTCAAGTATGAATTGATAGTCCGAGCTTTTTGGTTATAAATTGGTAATTGCGAATCCCAGGTATTGTCCCACATAATTTTTAATCCTAATGTCTAGGGTGGTATCCAAAGATGTTTAGTTTGTAGTTGATATATTAGAGGAAAAATTTATTTTGGATTTGGATTTATTCTCTGTCCGGATTGATGGGAAATGAAGTTGAATATGTTTATGATAGAAGTTGTATTTACATTGTCTGCCTCGGAGAAAAGGATAAGGTCATCCGCGAATAAGAGGTGGGATATGGCAGGGGCATTCTAGCTTATTTTAATGGGTTTCAAGTTCAAAATATCTACTTCATAATCAATTTAACGTATTAGTGATTGCATACCATCAAGCATGAAAATAGTGGGTCTCCTTGTCGGATGCCTCTTGATGGTTCAAAGAATTATGTATGTTTTCCATTTGCAATGATTGATGTTGTTGTGGTAGATATGCAGTACATGATAAGTGTTATTATGTCCTGGAAAATAATTAGTGCGTGCAAGGAGCTCCTAACAAATAACCATTCAAGTCGGTCAAAGACCTTTTCAAGATTAATCTTGAGTATTATCTTCCTAGTCTTCCCAGTACAATTCATGAAAGAATGGACTGCTTCTAGGATAATTATAGCACTGTCAATTGCTCTCCTTCCTGGAATAAAGCTGAACTGATTAGGACTAATAGTTTTATTGAGGAAGGGGCGTATCTGGTTTACAATAATTTTTGTTATAGTCTTATATATTGTGTTACATAGGCTAATGTGTCTATATTTAAACATATTTTATGGGTTCTTGACTTTAGTAATAAGTGTTATGTAAGTCTTGTTTATTTCATCTAGAATTACTAAGGTAGTAAAAGCTTTGGTACATGTATCAATGATAACTGAGTTTGTGTCCGATCAGTATTTCTGGAAGAAAATTGGGTGGATGCCATCCGATCTTGGTGCCTTTAATGGTTAAAGGATTTTATAGTGTTATTGATTTCAGTGACTAAAAGAGGTCTAACAAGATCTTCTTTATCCTGGTCTAATAGTATGTTGAGTAGGCTTGAATTAGATGTCATGATATATGGACATGAATCCAATTCAGTTTTGTAGATATTTTGGAAGTGTTTGATAATAATATTATGTATTTCATGAGGGTCGAAAGTCCAATTACCAACTGTGTCATTGAGCCCTAATATCCTTTTTTTTTTCTGCTCCTTTCGATAGCAGATATATCAAAGAATTTTCTGTTGGCATCTGCATTATTAATCCAATGTACTTTGGATTTTAATTTTTAAAAATCTTGTTGATTTTAAAGGATTATGTTCTATTCATGAAGAAGATTATTCTATAGATTCTAATGAAATTGGGTTTTACTTTATTGTTGTCTGTTTTGAAGCTTCACAATTCGAGCAAGAAGTGTTCTTTCTTCTTTTTTTAAAAAAAAAATATTCTCAAATATAAACCTATTTCATTCTTCCACGTATTGTGTGAATGAGGAAATAGCAGTTGCATAATTTCTATTATTATTTTAATATTATTTAATTAAGTTTGGAAAAAGAGGGTGACTAAGCCACATTATTTCAAAGCGGAAAACGTGTGTTGGTTTACCAATATTTTTTGACAGGCTTAGCAGAAGAGGGCAGTGGTCTGAATGTGTATGTGGCATGTGTGTGATAGTTGCATTCGGGAATATTTTGTTACACCCTATATTTTCGTACGTAAAAGTACGTTGTAAGCAAACTACTGTAAGACCAAAAATAATATCATCTTTGAAAGTATATAAAGTAAGTTATCATGCTACTTCGGAGATTATAAAGTAATTGAAGAAAATAATATTTCGTCAAAAGTTGACAAGTTGGGAATGTTATAACCCGTACCTTCGAGGGTGAGACTAGGATTCTTAACATGATAAGATAGTTATGTTATGATTTATATTAGTCTTATTATAGTCATGTGTTATGTTTTGAAGCCGAGCGAGTTGTGAAACAAAACTCGATGAAT